TGAAAAATGACCTGGTCATTCTATTTTCACACCAATTTTTAATACATCTTTATTTTTTAATACATGCAATGCTTTGGGTCCTAATAAAATTCTCCATATAGCTCCATAAAATGTATCTTTAAAAAGTATTAAGAAGCTCTGAGCTCTGGAAAATTCATGAAATGAGGCCACTTGTAAATTCCGGGTGCTAATAATTTTTAGGGTTTAAAGGGATAGGAAGAGGTTTAGGTCAGTATCAGCTTCTTCTCTTATGAGAACATGGTGTGTAATGACAAAAGGTGACATCATTCAAATGGGAAGAACAAATCTGATAAGTGACTCAAAGATCCCAGAATGATTGAAGGGGGAGGTTTCTGGGGTCAGGAGGTTCTCAGAATGTCAAAGGGCTTTGGTACGGAAAACTTTGTGTAGATGTGTATTTCTATCACAGACCTTCATATCTCAGCAACTACGTATTTTTTCAAATTGCTCATTACCAAGAACATTCCGGTTTATTCTGGAGTCTGATCAAATGCCACCTGAAGGTGTCCTCCCACGGCTCCTATCTGACTCAATGACACTCCATCTGTAGCCCCGCCTCTCACTTGACTTTCTGCGTTCCATTATCTAGTTTTTACCTTTATTTTAGATTCATTCTTTGGTTTTCCTTTACCAGACAAAACAAAAATGCAGAATAATGAAGGCTGAATTGTCCAAAAGAAAAACAAAAACAAACAAGTACTGACAAGTGGGCAGATTTACACAGCAGGAAAACGAGCACGGATAGAGGGTCTGACCAAGGGCGAGCGCGCATGTCCAGTTTTAATGGGATCCTCTTATGGCCTTAGGAGAGCAACCCAGTGGTAGCTGTTACTAATATTTTATATTATGAATAGCATCTCCTGAAAACTCCATTAGTAGACCTTTGTTCATGTCTCTTATGTGCTCATAGGCATATTACTCCCATGTCAACAGATGTGATTCTGTTGCACATATTCCTGAAAGAAAAAAAAATCTTACCCATCATGTGAAAATATAACCCATAAATTGTGGGGTTTGAATTGGCTGCATATTTCAACCTGTGCCACGTACACGTAAATTATTCTCCTTTACACATAGAGATAGTGGTCTATAAATACATTGTTAATGTAGAATGTTTCCCTTACTTTGGAGGCTTTGCCAGAGGCCATATTGAATTTAAAGTTTGGAGTTATTTTTGAGTCAGGAACCTCAAATATATCTGGATAAAAGCCAACCTTCAAACATATATTCTTAACTTAGCAGGATATTTTATACACATTAAATTTTATTCAAAATGGTGTTAGCCATTTAAAATTTTTCTTATTACTCACATACATAAAGACTAAACTTTGAAGGATCATTGTCGGTCATTCTGCTGAAAGATTGTTTTTAATGATTCATACCTGCTCTCCTGATTGTGTTTGGGGAGAAAGATGTTTGTTTTGTCTACAACCAAGAGCTTTCTCCTTAAAGAAAAAGTACAGTGCTTGGAAATTAAAGGCCATGGTTATTCTACATGTGCCATATTATCTCTAAGTGTTTGCTGACCTCTTCAAGGGTTCATAGCCTCACAAAAAAGTAAGATTATCTGCCATAATAAATTTATTCTAGTAACCAAGAGTGATGTATATATAATGTGAGATCAAAAGAATCATAATCGTTGAGAATTTGAGCAGGAAGAGAGCTTTCATTATCATCACCCACACCTATCATTTTATAGATGTGGCATTTTATAAATGTGGAAATTGTGCCCCAGAACAATCAAAATGATTTTTCTTGGACTAGTGTTTGGTCCTCAGTCTGGAAATCATGACTTCGTTCAGGGCTGCATCTTCGATGGACTTCTATTCATACTGTTCAATGAGTAAGCACTGTCTCCAGTTCTGTTCTAGCTTTGTCACTGCCTTGGACCTGGTGTCCAGATGCTTCAGTAGTTCAAGGTTATGAGAAGGGGAGAGGAGAAAACAATTAGTCTCAACATGATTGTCTCACTTGGTGCAATAAACCCAAGCCAGTAAGCCAATAAAAGGTAGATCAGCTGGGTCATGTATCTAAGGAAAGGGTAACTTGTCATTACCAAAGATGATTCCTTTTTAAAGGATATATATATATTCTTTTGCAACGTGCATAATTTTTTAAGCTGGGATTTCATATTCGGAATCTACCTTTCTATTTTTATGTGTAGTGGGAAGAGGTCAGAGGAGGACTAAATAAAGACGACCACAGGATACAGAGTAGGAGACACTTTTGGAATACACAGTAGGAGACACTGATTGAGGATTTCAGCTCCCCTACTTGCTAGCCACATAACCTTAGACAAAATGACTTAACCTTGCCTACACAGTCATGAGGATTAAATGAAATTATAAATTATAAATGGGAAAACACCTAACACAGTCCCTGGCATATCTTCTGAGCTCAATAATGGTAGTTTCTCATTCCTGTAGTGTTTATAACATAATTAACCCATCAATCACCAGCTCCCTGCGGTTGGTCAGAGGTCTCCTGTTAGTCACTCCAGAGAAAAAGGAAAGCATGGCATCCAGCATCACCAGCTTTGTGATTATCCTGCACTGAAATAATGTTTAATAATAAGAGCTTTTGAAACTCATTACGACTGAATGCATTTGTAGATGAAACATGGCATTTCCAACTGGAGCAAGATTATGAACAGAGTGATCTAGAGACGATAGGGTCTTGCAATGGAACTGTCAATTCAGGGTCATCTTTCAAGGTTGAGAGAGATGGGGGCGGGGCACTAAAGAATAAGCCAAGCTACATTTCCGTTGCCTGCCTCCTAAACCTCTCTGTAGTCCATCTTCTCGTTTCTATTGTGTCATTCCTTGTCATTTAGAAATCATATCCCCCTGGACTTTTGCCAAGACGTGACGTTGGTTTTCTGCCACGACTCCCCTCACCTTCTGATCTATCATGCATGATGTCTCCAGAAAGATCTTTTACAACAGCTGTTCTCAACCTGTGGGTCGCAACCCCTTTGGGGGTCGAATGACCCTTTCACAGGGGTCGCCTAAGACCATCGGAAAACACATATTTCCGATGACGATTCATAACAGTAGCAAAATTACAGTTATGAAGTAGTAACGAAAATAATTTTATGCTTGGGGGTCACCACAACATGAACTGTATTAAAGGGTCGTGGCATTAGGGAGCTTGAGAACCACTATTTTGCAAACTTAAATCCAATTTCCTGGACCTTCTGCTTAAAATGGCCCTCCCTGCCACAAGTTGAAGTCCAAGATCATGGGCATGTCATTCAAGATCGTGTGTTAATTAGACCATGCCTAACATGGCACTGTCAGTCACCACATCCACACTGCTTCTATGCTCTAGTTTTGCCCAGCAGTGCACTTTGTACCCCAACAAACTACAGAACATCAAGTTTCTGCACATTTGTATACAGTTTTCTTTTCCAGGGCTACTTCGTCATCACCACCTCTTCAGCTTGACTAACTTCTGATGGTCTTTCAAATACTTGGTCAAGCGTTATTTTTTCTGGCCAGTCTTCTCTCACCTTCCCGTCATCATAAGTTTATGTTCTACGTGTTTCCTCAGGAACGCGTGGGGACTTTTCCAGAATTGGCATTATTTGTTTACCAAAAGCACAGTCTCAACTTGACCATGAGTAGCTTGATGCCAAGGAAGAAGCATCATTTCGCCCTCAACATCTGGAACAGCCTTAACATTCAAAAAATATTCATTTGTGGGTTCATTCGCTGTTGAAACTGCTGTTACACGGTCCAAGTGACAAGCTTTATGATTCTCAGACTTTGGTCAGAGCAGGTGGTCACAGCAAGTAAAGCAGTAATAGACAACCATGTCAGAAATTGGGGAGACTGGGCCTCCTCCCCTAACATGACATGGGTGTTTCTGTGAAGCAGTAAGATGAGGAAAGTTCAGTCATGAAATGTTGGTGAGAGCTGGAGGGGATTTGAGGCCATCCTTTGCTTTGGGAAGCAGAAATAAAGCGCCGGAGGTCGTGGCCAGCATGAGGCAGATCTGGGTCCAAAACCCAGCTATCTTTCTTTCCAATCTAGTGTTCATCCATTTGCCTTTTCTATTCCAGTGGAACTGGGGGTGGGGGGGGTGGGGGGCAGGGGGCGGGGCTAAGCAAACAATGCACGTGAACCTCCCTCCTGATTGGTCAGGCTGCAGAGACAGTTCTGGTGAGTCATGTTAGCACCTAGGGAGATTCTCCTGCTTTGATTTGCGGCTACAAATCACTTCACCAGGAATAGCTCAGGGGCTGCAACAAGGTCATTAACTCTGCTATTTCATATTTGCCCCACTGGCATGTTCTCATGCAATGACCTCCTATTTTCCTCTCGTTCTCCTGCACTGCCTCAAAAAAAAAGAAACATCCCTGTGACGTATTGGAAGGGTTCCAACATCAGCCAGTGCATATATTAAAGTTTTAAATCAATTATTGTTCTAGTCCACACCCTCGGGTTAAGAAGGGAAGAACATCCAGGACTAACAAACCCGATTGTTCTGGCAAAGTTGCCATTCGATTCATGCTGGCATTTCTGCACTTTTCTTTAATATTCCAACCTCATTAAAAAAGAAGTAAATGGCTCAAGTAGCAATTTTTAACATTACTACTTCATTCAGTTTCTCCATGAGACTTCTACCTCCCAGTCTCTTGAGGTTTCCCAAGGGGGCGCGGTGCCCAGAAGTTGCTTAGTTAGTTGCAGAGACAGCTGTCAATCTGATAGTGGGTTCATTCGACCTGGATTACTCCTCATTTACTGCCTTCTGAGCAAGGGAGGGACTCAGAGTTGGAAATGTGAGCACTTCACGACTTGGCCTTCTTAGATTGAGTAAAAGACTTAATCATAACAGTGAAGAAACCCAATTACAACGATGTATAACATGGTGCATTTTAACCTAACAGCTACTCTGAGTTGGACCTCGATGAGCAGTCTGATAAATACTGCTCTAAGTAAAATTCCAATAAAGTGCGATACATTTTTTTTTCCTAGGCAAGTACTGGAAGTCGGTCAGGACGGTGGCGAGGCCCAGGGGCTGTGCTCTGGCTGGGGCTCAGTTGCAAGAGGAGACGGACACCGTGTCCGCCCTGGCCTCCCTGACAGTGGATGTGGAACAGCCCTTCGCCCAAGAAGACAGCAGGTATGGGTCCAACATGGGGGAGTCATTAAGGTCAGTCACATCCAGGCTCATCGTCAACGTGGTGAAGCAGCCTCCAGACTTCCCTCACCTGTCTCCTCCACTTCCACCGCCTGTCTTCTCCAAAGCCACAGATGCCACAGCACATGCTGTCGGCTGTCAGGAACTCGGTCATTTGTTTCATTCTTCGTGAGAGAGACAGAGCTGGAGCATGTGGTTGCAGTTCCCAGAGAAGTGGAGGGGATGAGGTAGATAGTGAGAAAAATCACTGCTTGGTGGATAATTTCGTGCAGATTACTGTGGAAAGAGCTGCTGATGGGCTTGCCTTCTCTCCCTAGCTATCTCTGTTTTGCCAGGTGTTCTTTTCTTTCTCTTGTCATTTTGAAATTACTGCTATAACCCACGGAGAGCGGGGGGTGTTGCTAGTCAGGTGGATAGCCGACACACAGAAAGGTGCCTTCCGCGACTGTCCCCGGGGTGCAGCCCGAGGGAGAGGGACAGGGGTGTGTGTAAAGGAAAAGCGTGGACTCGAGCCTGGTTTTATTTTACAGTGTGATAAGAAGGAGTTGATTTCAGTTAGTCTTCATGTGAAGGAATAGAGCTTTCAGGAGACAAAATAAGGTTAACTAAGATTGGATTCGCTTCCTTTCCTTTTAAGAAATGTTTGTCATTCTGTGCGTTGTGGTGTTCGTCGCCCTACCCTGCAGGCGATGCCATGTGCAGAATTTCGCGTCCGTGTCCTGTGACCAAAGACACCACATATGTACATACATTACACTGGTGCTTTCTATGGCTCACTTCAAAGTTCCATCGCCTCAATCTGAACACGAGTCAGGTGAGGCTTTGCTATGCTCTGCCTGCTTGCGCTTGAAAACCGCTTCTGAGGATGAAATTGGACCCCCTCTGTAAATAACATCACCGTTAATTACACAGATCCCGCTACCAGTACACAGGTGGGCAGTCTTCCCGAAAATGCACAAATTTGAATCGTTTCAGCTTTCTTCTTTGACTAACTATTCAGTTTAATGGCTCTAACATCTTGTTTTGGTCAAGAGCAGGAGATAGGTTGAAAAAGAGATTTCACTTTTATGCAATTATTTTTTTTTCTTACCATAACCATTTAAATAACAGATTACCAGCAAGGAAAAAAAAAAAAGTTGTACAGGATTGTATTCAAAGGCATCATCACATGGGCATCTGGAACATAAGGGAAAACTTATTTTACGTCTTTGATAATATGAACTAACCCCCTGCCGTTCCCAGCTAAGAACTGAACCAAGTTCATAATCCAAAGGTGTTGCAATTATTCCCAAGGCCAAATCCAGTTCGTTCCTGTCATTTGAGGGCTATAAAACTGAGGAAACTAGCATCTGTTAGTGTTGGATATAAAAGGAGAATAGCTATTCTTGGGAATGCATTTAATATAGTGAAACGAAGCTAAATTCCAACCTGGGTGAAAGGAATTGTAAGTAATTTTGCCCAATAAATTGTGGAGTTTAGAATAATTAAGAGTAATAAGGCCCTGGCCGGGTGGCTGAGTTGGTTGGAACGTCATCCCGTACACCAAAAGGCTGCATGTTCAATTCTCAGTCAGGGCACATGCCTAGGCTGCGGGGTCAGTTCCTGGTCGGCGCATGTGCAGGAGGCAACCCATCCAAGTTTTTCTCTTGCATTGATGTTTCTCTCTCTGTTCCTCCTTCTCTTTTCCTGTCTCTCTAAAAGCAATAAAAATATACCCTAGGTGAAGATTAAATGAATAAATTAATTATTATTTTTTTAAAATAATAAGTCATGTTATGAGCCCTAAGTAATGTAAAAACCTGAGCACTTTGGCAGGAGTTAGCTATATAGGCATGCTAATTTATCCAGGTAAACGAACAGTGAGCCTGACCCCTGCTAATCCAGGGGGACTCAACCCCGGCTTCACTTCCCAGTGACTTTTGAGCTTCATCTCCTGGCAGAGAGAGAATGGGAATGTTTGGACAGACAAGGAAACAGAACCGACGTTTGTGGCCTCAACTCATAATTGTTGATCAGTTTTAGACAGACTGTATCAATTTTGATTGATTTTTCTTGTGGGAAGGAAAATGGTTTCGCTTGAAATATTTTCTATGGCTTTGAACTCAGTTTTTCAGCAGAGGAAAAGAAAAATTATTCTAGAACTGGCTTTTGCATTTCTACTGAACCATGCATGAATTTCATCAGAGAGAGTCAGACAGAGAGAAACCTGGAAAATCAAAGAGCATTTATGCTTTTCAGGGGAATGCTATCGGAATTGTCCCTCTTCCCGATACAGGAGACATGAATTTCAGAGTGAGATAAAAAGTGGAAATATTCTGGGGCCTTTGTTATGAATGCAATATTATAAGTGCACAGGAAATTGAAAAATTAGAAAAATCAGAGAGCTAAATGGATGGAAAAGGGTGAAGGCAAGATTCTTTTTATAGGATATTCTTGCCAGTTATTTTGGAGGATATACTGGTGTTTGGAGTGAGATGACTCATTTTGTACTAAGATTTTGGGTAAAGCAGATCTTTTCCTGGCCAACTCATATCTGACTCATTTACCACTAGTGAATAAGGGATAAAATGCTCCTGGCTAAGAACCATTGTAAGTATTTTTTGTTCATTTTTCTTGGATGGGGGAGGGGTAGAGATGATAACACAGCACAGTCATTTCATTTTTATAACTCATCAGTGGACCATGAAGAATAAACTGTTAGCAAACGTTGATATGTGGGGGTTCATTTTGGGGGTGACTGACTGAAACACAGTTTTCAAAACCTAATTTTCAGGTGCCAAAGGACCTGAGTAGGAAAAAGTGATTGGTGGATCAGCAAAAAAAAACAAACACGACACAAAACAAAATACAAAGAAACCTCAATGGGCCAAGTTCTTTGTTCAAAGAATACTAAGTACATAGGCCTGGTTGTATATAGCATACTGTTTTTAGAAGAGAACTGTGATCGTAGGGGTTTTTCATTTGCCGAGAGACTATACCTTAAAAAGATTATAATTTGCATTGGTTGGATATGTGTTTCAAATGCTTCTACTTTGAAAAGGTCAATGCATTGTTCAGGTTTATTCCTGATACCAGCTCAGGATCTGCTGAAAATCAAGAAAAAGATCTCTGTGTCCAGACAATGTCAGGGTGTTCAGCTCTTAAGTTGCGGGGAACACAACCGAACGTCAGGTTGACAGATATGAGTTTGACTTGTTGATCATAGTGTGGCTCATGTTATACTTAATACAGTCCAATCCAGTGGTTTCTTCAGTTATTTCATCTTCAGATTCAGGCAACTTGTCTCATGGAAGAGATGGTTTTAAATCATGACGTAATCTAGAAGCATGAGAAAACATGTGATTCTGAGCCTGGGCTTTTTTTTTTTTTTTTGAGTAACTATCTTCTTACGAGTATAAAAAAAGTGTAACAATAAACTGGAAAATCTCAAGTATCATCTATCTTTGAATGACCTATCTGTAGTGCCGAGGACATTGATAACCCCATTTTCCTGAATCTGAAGATTTATGTGGAAATATAGACCACTATTAAAAATACACATTCATGTCTAATGTATTTAGAAAATCAGCCTTGTTTTCCCTCCTTTAGGAGTGTGTCTCCAAGGCGTCTAGATGCTAAAATATTACACAAATGATGCAGGTTTCTGACTTTGCTCTATGATACCATTATTTTGAGCCCTGGTTTATCCAGCTAGGTAAGCATAGCAATATACATTTTAGTCTTAATTTTCATCCAGTGCCAACAACTCCTTTGTTGAAAGGTGAGCTGAGATTTGGACTCTCCTGGTAAAAGGAAGATAGTCTGTCCCCTGTCACCTTCTTCCTTGTCCCCCTGGGACCATCCTTTTACCTGTTTTCAGTGCCAAGCAAGCCATCTTGTAGCATATGCAAAGTGTGACTTGGGACACAGGGATTCCATCCAGCGCCCAGTTATGTGTGCCAGAGCTCCGTTCTGAATTCTTTACTGAGAGGTACTTGATTTGGAAAGAGAAACACGGTGACATCGAACCATAACTAAAGTGAGAAGCGTACGAGCTCGAGTCCCCATCATGTGCTCTTAGTCTAGGGCCGAGTGGGACTCTAGAATCAGCTGGTCTAGATAAGAATAATAATCTCCAACTTAATAACTGTGTGGTCGGGCAAGTTACTATCTCTCTGGGCTTTATTTTCTTTGTCTCTAAAATGAAGGAAAATTTTCATAGAGTTTTGAGGGTGAAATGACATACATACATCTTAAGAACTTAACAGAACACCCAGTACATAGTAAGCACTCAGTAAAGGTTGGTTTTTATTATTGTTTTCTGGTATATTTCTTCTTCCTCAGTTTGCTCTATTTTTTCCTACCTATAATACATTGTTCATGATCCAGTGATCTATAATACTAGAATATAGAGGCTGTTCCTGGGCATCTATATGTTTATAGATTAAATCAATAGTATAGTCATTAAAAACAAGAGTTGGACAAATAATCACTGAGTGATAAATGCCAAATACATTATAGGTCATAAACAAACACTTATTGAATGAATGAATGAATGAATGAATGAATGAATCCAAAGACAAAAGGCAAAACATTTTTAAAATGGTAGCATAGCATTTTATGATGATACCTCAGCCCTTCTTGTCTCTATTATGTCTTCTGAGGGTTTTTATATTTTTATGAGTTTTCAAAATTGTATTTTACATTTATTTTCTCTCATAGTACTAATTGGCGATGTCCATTTTCAAATGTTGCCGACTAACCAGAATCCGCAGGACTCATATCATAAACCTGGACTGGCTGAGGGGACGTAGCAAAGGAGGGAGGGGTAGAGTGTGTGAATGACAAAAGGAATTGTCTTTATGGGGGGAGAAAAATGCAGGAGAGGCGCTGGCGGGTTCTAGGATTATCCTCCAGCTTGCAGAGGAGGGAGCACAGCCCGTTCTGCGTTCTTTACACCCTTCCAGATTGTCTCCTGTGTGTGAGACGCCTGTGGGAGCCCG